GCGAGCGGCGCACGAACAAAGGTGCAAAATGGAAATCGAAAAGAGCGCATCAAAATCTACAAAATTGCCGATTTTTAAAACTTCCGGATAACATTCCAGGTAGAACCACCAAATTACTGAGCTATTAATGTACATTGAAATTGGAACATGTTTCTGTTAACGTTTTTTTGACAATAATTATCGTTTGAGAAAACACATTGGTACCTACATAATAAGGTCACTACTATCTTGATAAGTTTTTCAATACCCAAGGGATAGGCAGACTGAGAAAGACGTAAATACCTAGTTTCAATGTATTTATTAAGTCCCATAGAATACGGGGTTAGCCTATTGCCATTCTCTCTCTCTCGATATGATTTCGATCACATTCTCGCCGGTTATTGGTCGAAATTATTCTCACAAATGGCATGGCGGACCGCGATCGAGTTCACTTCGAGAGTTCGAATTGACATCTTACAGAATAGCCTAGCTGAACTGAGAAATATTCGAAAAATCGAATAAATCATCTTTTCTGAGAAAATATTGCATAGACATTTCATATTTCATTCAAACCGATGGCAAGTACCAATGTGACTTTTTCCGAATTATTTGCATCATTGTACTTTCAAAGATTGTTTATATACCACTGACAAACGATGAAGGAAAACATCGTGAGGAAACCTGGGCTTATAATTTCTAATTATACCTAAGTTTGAAATCGCCAACCCGCATTAAGCAAGCGTGGCGATTAATGTTCAAACCTTCTCTGTGTGAGAAGAGGCTTTGGTCAGCGGTGGGCGCTTATAGGCTGTTGACGATGATGATTTCATAACATTGCATTGATTTTGAAAAAGTTTTCATCCCTTTGTGAATGTGTCGTAATATTTTAAGATTATAATCATCATCATCATCATCATCATCATAATGACAGCGATCAGTATGCTAGTTAAAGAAATGATTGGGCCATTTTGAGAGATTTAGAGAAGACACGCTAGCCCCATAGACATACGATCTCCGGTCACCGTAAGCGCGGGCCTGCGGACGGTGAGCATGGGTGGTTCGCCGGCCGACCAGAACCTACGGCGCGTCTCGTTCCGCGAGCGCCTCAAAGAGTAAAGGTAAAGGTAAGGTATTTGACCACCACGGTTGGGGCCCAATAGGACTGATGCTGATACGGAGCCGCGGAGAACTTAACGGGTTGCAGTGGACGATTGCATAAGCTCAACAATAAAGAAATAATAAATCACTTTTGTATTTATTAATTAACTGGTCTTAAGACATTGATATACCAATCTGCCTTTCATTAAAGCATTTTTAACTTTACGGTACTTACTGAAATAAAGTGGAAATTTTATTGAATAAACTCGACTGAGGAGGAATGTCACTAGAATGTCACGGGAAGATTTCATTATCTAGAGAGTTTGTTAAATAAGATATACGTTAATACAGGTTGAATGCCTTTAATGCACTGTAAAACATGCGCTTGTAAAAATTTACATATTTAATAAGGCCGATTGGGCAATAACCCTCGACAGGTAAAAAACGCAAACCAACAAAAAATTAATGAAAATGGCTTGTACAGAATAGCTGGCTATGTTTATATGTACAGTCTACTAGCAGACCCGACAGACGTTGTCCTGCAATGATATTTCAAGCAGTTAGGTTAAAAAATATGAAAGGAAAGACCAATAATATAATAATAATAATTCTTTATTTTGAAATACCATAAATTTTTCGAAAACAATTCATTATAATCAATAATATCTTTTTTATTTTATCTTAATGCTAGTTGATAAACAATATTTTTAGTCAATTACTGAGGAGGATAAATGAATAAACTTGACGGTTTTCAAAGCGAGAACACGCTACATATAATTGACCATGTGAAAAGATTGGACTTTCTAGATCCAACCCACAAATAGACATCGTTTGACCTTGTGACTTATTAATAGTCATGGCAAATACCAAGCGAAGTGGAAATTGCAGACGTCTGAATGAAATGGGTGAGGCTGAAGGGATCAATGGGATTCGTGGCAGGAGAAACATTTCACCTTCAAATTTGCCGTTCAATATTGTAACTTATTCTAACTTTATGACGCACCTTGTACCGATCCATAGCTTAGGTGCATTTAAATTCCGAAGCAAAATGATAGGTCAACCAATTTTTAATTGCAAGTTATGTGGTGGCATTCCTGGTAAATCCATCGAGTTCAAAAAATCAACATAGTTGACTGCTTCGTCAAGATCGGTAACAGTGTCGATCGATTTGCACAATATCTCATTGCCGGGCAATGACTGTTGTATATTGAAGTTAATAGCGTCAACATCAATATTTTTTGCAGCTAACATACTAAACGACTGGACTAATTTTAATGATTTTTTGTTTGCAAAAAAAAACATGTTTATTCCATGTGAAATATCGTGGCACATCAGTGTACATTAATGTCTTTGCGAATTGACCTGGAATACCTGATCGGTTGTAGAGGTATAGTTCGAAAAACTCAGTTAATGTGGTTTTTGGGGCTATTGATGCACGTTGCAGAGCAGTCTCTTCCGTAAAATAAACACAGGGTCTCTTTCCTAGGTTTTTAACCTAGACACCGACTGACCGAGCGCCATCTGCCGAGCTGATTTGTGAATCTAAACCATCCAGGGCGTTACCCAAACGCAAACAAAAAAAAATCATCCTAATCAGTCCAGTCATTTAGTTGCAGTATAGATAAATAACCTAGATACAAACTGCATTTGTAAATCTAAACCACCCAGGGCGCCACACACAAAATACACAGGTACAGCAGAATTATATGTATAAAGATGTATAATATTATGACCTTCGTACCGAGTGTGTGATGGACATTGAATACAAGGTGCCCAATAAATTGGTAAGCTGGAACGCATCATACGTTCATACTGGTTGTTAAGCATGTGTGGATACTTCATACTGTAATAACATGCATCTTGCATGACGCAAGCATTCCATCTTATAAATTGTATAGATAATACAATGGTCTGCCATCGCTTTCATGGTATCATGGTATCTTGCTTTCAAATTTCGTCATTCTCAGTAATAAAATATACAAAAACTTTATATATTTTGTTCTCCGAATGGATACTTATACATCCCGGTATAATTTTTTTAAGGAAGAAAATCATCCAATTACTTTTTCCGCCGGGTGAGTCGAATCTCTAAAATAACTCAGACTGACTAAATATTATCATAAATTGCATACTTTTCTTTCTCCCATATTCTTTCTTTGTTTTAAAAGAGTTACTGGCTTCATAATATAACATTACAGTGCAAAATACCCTGCACTATTTTTGTAGCCCATTTTTTGAGTTAAACTTTCGTTTCATCATCATATTTCAGTTGATTTCGTCATTTAAATTAGTTTCATCATTATTTCTATCTCTGTTATTAGTTAGGTACTAACTTTCGGTACCTACAAACTAAGATTTAATCGTATTTATCTGCTTTTGTTACTAGATGGGTTTTTACTTTTACGATGGTATTTCACAATTATCTTGAAACTACTCTGTATCAAAAGTAACTAGGTTCCCAGTGTCTATATTTACAAATCAATTCAACAACAGTAAGTGGGAATTTATGTGACTGTCTCGTATAAATAATCTGGTTTTGCGTTTGAAACCAAGGTCATGTAAAGTTGTCGGTACGGTCTTATTGTATTTCAGAGTTAAAACAAAAAGGAGGAGGTTATCAATTCAATTCTCGAGTTTGTCCCATTTTCATCAGGTCAGGATCTGATGATGGAATCCCAGGGACACTGAGCTTTCACCGAACTTTTGAAAATTGTAGGGGTCACTAGTGCCTTTGTTAATATATAAAAATACTAAAAAGGAAAAAATAACTATTATTGGTCTTACGAACTTACCTTTATACAAATACAAAATTGTTTATTGTGTCAATAAGTATAACTATTATATGTTAACGTGTTTGACCTATTGAGTGTGTAACCAATCACACCCTATCTAAATATACCGGGAACCTCGTAATTAGAATAACCTAGGAAGATAATTGGGAAATACCATCGTAAAAGTAAAAACCCATCCCGCAACAAAAGCAGATAATTAGGAATAAATCTTATTGACTTATGTATATATGCAGCCCGGCACGTCTGCCGGGGTCACTAATTTTTGTAAATGTAAACGATAATTTTAATCCCCGAACATAATACGTTTGGGTTGCCATATACAAATATATTTTCTACCAAAACCTACCGTTAATAAAACAGTGTATTACTATTTTATTAAGGAGTCTCATTATAATCTACCTCTAACCAGTATTTTATGCAGTTACTCATTAGTTTAGTCTTCGGCATGTTCATCTTCAGTCCAACCTTAAGGCTGGCTCTGTTGAATTCGTTGACCATGCTGCCTAGTTCCAGGTACAAAAAAAGAGAAAGAGCTCTATGTCAAAGGGTTCTTAATCTCCACTCCACGTTGATCACACTCTTCGTACTCGAGCACCACGAAAGCTTTGTGAAGACCTCTTCAAGGGTTGCGGTGAAGAGTTTCGGAGATAGGGCCTCACCTTGATTGACTCTCTTGGGGTAGGACTAGTCGAGTTTCTAACTTCATAGTTCATATGATTAAAACTAAATACTGACAATAATAATAAAATAATGTGAAAATACACGCTGTGCGAAATTACCCTTACCATCAAAAATCTGGTCATGGTTCAACCATCTTGCTGGAGTACTTTAGGTATATTATATTGACTTTAGGTATAGATAGTACAAAGTTATACTTACTTTTTACATTTTGCTACAGGTGGCGCCACTAATAATTTTACAGACCTTTATAACCTGAAAGTGTTATCGCACTTTAATAAATCAACTAATTATAAAACGTCAAAATTGAAAACACCTTAAATAAATTAAAAACAGTTACTGACTTCACATGGTAACTCTATCACTAATAAATCCTACTAAATTGTTATGAAAGGTAAATTCTGGCAACATTACAACTCACAAAATTCCCGCTATCAATGAATTCTATTTATAAAAGACGGAGTTCAATAAGTATTAAGCTATCGCGAATAGCTGAATGCGAACTTTATTTCTTATACAGTAAAGTTGAAAATAGCAATATACATTATAAATATATAAATTGTATGTAGATAGGGACAATATTGTTCAAGAGTGGTTTGTTTTGTTCAGATAAGTGTAGACTCTCGTAGCTGTTGGTTTTGCGTAGCAGTGAGAAACTATATATCTTAAAGAACACTCGATTGTGACGAGTCGCAGATATTAATAATTATTAATTTCATTTTATATACTAGGTAAGTGCGTCAAGTTGAGTGTCATAATTTAAATGTAATTTTTGTCTGTGGGATCGTGTTTCGCGAACCAATTGACTGATTTTGATGTGATTTTTAAGTGACATCTAGTTTTCTTGCGGTTGTGTGTCATATATTAGAGTGAGTCACATGCAAACCGGCAAAATTCTAGATTCTGAGTCCAATCATACATAGTTATTACAAAAAAAAAATGTAATGCTGTGTCTGACTCGGGAATCCAACCTTATGCAGTAGCGGTCACGGTTATGATCATTGCATCAATAAATCAGTCGTTCCGAAACGTGCAGGTGGTTTACTTCAAAAACAAATTTGTGTAAACTGTATATTTAGTGGTAAACAAGTTCGCTCACGTTGCTTGTTATTCTTAGTTTCATGTTTAATAACAAATCTATTTTTGTTAAATTTATCTCCTATTCTGCATCATGTGTTCCTAATATCCTATGTTTAAGTGTATGGCCCAGGCCAGGTTATATTCAAGGTCTTAATTTATTTAAGTATACATACTATTATAAGTTAGGTGTCTTGAAAGCCCGAGTGAATAGGTTGCTTAACACATTAAACGCCATGTCAGTCACCGGTGACCGACATTAGCGGAGGATTTGTCTTCAATCGTTTTTTATTGGTAGCCAATGCCTTATGGGACGACGTGCTCCATCGTAGACCGCATCATCGCTTCCCACCAGGCGAGATAGTGGTCAACGTCACGTCAAATATAAAAAAAAAACCTTATTATACAGTAATTAGCAACTCTGAGCACCATTTTCTATCATAATCCTATATAATATATAATAATATGTATTTGTTAACGTTTCGGACCAACATATAAAGAAAATAGATATTTGTGTGTATTGGGCTTCCATAGAAAAGACATGATTTTGTCCCATTTTTATAGATAACCGTCTAAAATATTTTATGATTGCCAGTTTTTTAACATCGGTCATGTTGATGTATCTGCTCATACAATCAGAATGTCCTGTATGTAACCTTATTTAAGAATTTCACAATAGGAATTTGCATAATATTGAGTTAAATAAATACATTAAGGTATTTAAGTACTAATCGTGCAGACCTCTACTTACTTCTTTGGGAAAAACTTAGGCAGCTTTCAAAGAACTGTCGAGGGTCTCTTAACTCGTAAATATCTGATTAAGAAAAATCCACAACATTTGTTGATATAAAAGTAGTCTCTACACATCGGTAATTCGGAGTCGCGGAGAATCTAACGGGTTACCGTGGCTCCGACTCAACGTGCAGGAGAAGGAACGGGGCGTTTTTAGTCAGTAAGAGTCTGACATTTCCTCCCGTCTCACCCAGGCGGGAGCAGTCATTGGATGATTTTTACCCCTTAAAAAAAACATCGGAAATTAGGTCTATGATGGAGTTAGGGGAGATTGTAGATTGACCAGCGTTGGCAAAAGCAAACAGCGACGCCCATGGACGCGCAACACAACAGCTATAGGCTGATTAGGCTGTTCTGTCAATTTAACTTTCGAAGTAAGCTCGATCGCATTCCTGACTGTCATTGGTCGAGATTATTCCGACAACCAATGACACTTGGATTTTTAAATTGAAAGTTATAGAATCGCCTAACAGTTACAAGTGTATTGCCGACCTTTCATGGTTAAGGCCTGTAGCCCCACAGGCCCTTCACTTAAGTAGGTATTTGATATTATACGATAGGACACACATGCAGATAATGTAGACTAGATCACTTATTATACAGGGTGTTAATGGAACGCTCTCGAAAAACGTCGACATGTGTTGGTAAAAAACAAGTTTTGTTTTTTTTTTTATGGAATAAGCCGGTAAACGAGCTGACAGATCACCTGATGGTATGGTAAGCAATTGGCGTCGGGCATGGACACCTGGGACACCAGAGGCGTTACACGTGCGTTACTGGCCTTCTGGATTAGAAATTTCAGGATTGTTGGGGTTACAGGGAAAGGGGGGGGGGGGATAGTTGGGCTCCCGGTAACCTCACTCACACGACGAAACACAACACAACGTTGTTTCACGTCGGTCTTCTGTGAGGCCGTGGTATCACTCCGGTCGAGCCGGCCCATTCAGCAAGGCTCTCCCACACTTATTATTTTTTATAATATCATAAAAGTTTTAATTTCATAAAAGTAAGGAATTAAATGTTTCTTTTACAGGGTGATGTCTGATGTTGCATGAATAACATGGAAACAAAAACGATTAAAATTGTAAAATCAATTTCTTTTTTTCTGCGTTTGGGAGCGTTACGTTTACACCACGGAATTTGTATTCTATATTCCGTGGTTTACACCCTGTACACTAGCTGTTTCTTGCGGCTTAGCTTGCGTGGAAGTTTTCATCCCTTAGTGTAAAATTTTAATTATTTTAAATCATTAGCCTAAATACGAAGTTTAGTATTCCTCTGATCAAAAATAACAAACATACATACCTATATGTATAATGTAGGTACTTAGAAAGTAGAGACAGACAGTGGAAAGCGACTTTATCTTATACCAGCTTTATATTACCAGCTGTAAGCGCGACTTTGGTTGGCCACGTGGAAAAAGTAGCGTATGTTAGTCCTTAGTATTAGGTTTAGGTAGCAGGTACCATCAAAATCGGTCCAGCTATTCCAGAATTAGCCAGTACAAACAGACAGACAAAAATTGTAAGAAGTGTTATTTTGTACATTTATGAATCGTAAGTATATTCATATTATTTTGTATGTACGCGGTTATTTAAATATTACAAACACAAACGATTTTATTTTTATTTTATTTTATCTGAATATGTAAGTAGGTATAGTTAGTAGTGAATAGTAATGACTTATAAACTATGAATAGGTGGTTTATGAACTGCTAAATTAATTTTTTTTTGTATTGCATTGTTTTTTTTTAATAGACGCAATAATCATCTTATGACTAGGTCATACCAGTTTATCCTAGAGTATGCGTATTTATATTAGGATCAACTAGTTTGTCCTAGCTTAAACTGGTTTATCCTATCGGGCTTAGGACAAATTAGTTTGAACTAGGCTATACTAGTTAATCCTAACGCGTATAGGAAGAACTAGTTTAGCCTAGGCAAAACTAGTTTGTCCTGAAATCGGGTTTGGCCGGTAACATATACATAACCAATTACTGACACTAAAATCACAAAAGATATTTGATTATAATACCAGCGAGCAACATGGAACACGGCGAGGGAGTGCAAGTGGTGAGGACGGGCGAGGGCGCGCAGCGGTACGAGCTGGACGAGGAGGCGCTGCGCCGCGTGCTGCTGCGGCAGGACGTGCGCGGCCTGCCCGTGGTGGTCGTTAGTGTCGCCGGCGCCTACCGCGGCGGCAAGTCCTTCTTGCTCAATTTCTTCCTCAGATACCTCAATGCCTCTGTAAGTGTACACCTCTGCTACTCTTCTTTCCTTTTCTTCAGGTGATCTTCGTACCTAAATTTCTTATTTATTTATTTTTGTAATTCTAATAATATGTTCTTAATGTTTTAGCGCGAGAGTCAGTTGACTGGACGGTGGTTGGGTAAGGAGGACGAACCACTAACAGGATTTCACTGGCGAGGTGGATGTGAGCGAGACACCACTGGCATCCATCTGTGGTCGGAGCCCATCATTACAACCACAGAAAACGGCAAAAAGGTGATTAAACTTGATAACAATTTCAAAACTAATTCTACAAGCTTATTTATCATCTAAGTGTGCGTATTAAAAAATAAATATCATACAAAATAACATCGATAAAACAAATCTTATATTCAATCTGAGGCCTTAGTATGAGTTTGCTTTACGTTTAAAGTAATCGTAACGAGTACGCGTTCGGCGCTGTGATTGGTTGCTTCATTGGCGTCGGCCAATCAGAGTGTCGAACGCATACTTGTTTCGAATACTTTAAACGTAAATCAAACTCGTACTAAGGCCTCTGGTCGAGCACGATATTTTTATAGCTTCATTTCCCTTTATCAGGTGGCCGTGTTGCTAATGGATACACAGGGCATTTTCGACTCGGAGACCACGATAGGCCAGAACTCGACGATTTTCGCGCTGTCCACGCTCATCTCGTCCGTACAGATCTACAACCTGTTCGGCAACATTAGGGAAGATAATCTTCAAAACTTACAGGTTCGAAAATAATAGTAGTTATATTATAGTTAGTTTATTAGGTTTAAGAAACAAGGACTTCCTCTCGCCTAACACAAGGCGGAAGAAGGCATTGGATGATTTCCCCCCTCCAAAAAAAAGCTATATGGGCTGTGTTAATATAAACCGATACTCAATTTTCTCCTTTCAGTGTTTAATTAAGGTTAAGAAAATTAATTGACCTTGTTACCAAAACTTTGACAATGTGTTCACAAGATGAGAGCCCATCAGGCGTTGTGGATGTCCTCTAACAAATATATCACTTTATAAATAAAAAACCAGACATAAGTGTCATATAGGCAGTGCTATACAATGTGTAACATTACACAAATGATGTTTCAATAACAGCTGTTCACGGAGTACGGCAGGGTGGTGAGCGACGCCCACGACAAGGCATTCCAAACGCTTCTGTTTCTCGTCAGGGACTGGGCGAATGCCTTCGAACACCCTTATGGTTTGACAGGCGGGTCTCAACTACTACGGAAAAGACTTCAGGTAATCATTTATTACATTAAATTTAAAAAAAAATACTTTACATCATTCGTTTTTATAGATATCACATTACATTGGTATAACTTACAACAAATATTTCTGATTCTCAGCTGAATCAGAACCAGAAACCAGAATTACGGCATGTCCGTGAACACCTGCATTCGTGTTTCGAAGATATCAAGTGTTTCCTCATGCCACATCCAGGTTTCTGTGTTGGAGAGCGAAACTTTGATGGCCGTATTACAGGTTAGAATTTTAGCCGCTTATTATTATAAAAAGAAGAATAAGCATAGTGTCTTAGTACCTTAGTGGTTTCCTAATAACTGAGTGCATTTTCCAGACTTGAATGAAAACTTCAAATCGGCGCTTTTGGAATTGGCGCATTCTCTGTTCGACCCAAAACTCCTAACTCCAAAGGTCATCAGTGGTGAATTAATCTCGGCAGAAGACTTCTTCGAGTATTTTAAGAAATATGTCAATATTTTCAACAGTGATGAAGTGCCCACAATGGGTACCATCTTTCAGGTATGTAACTGTGTATGTACTTAGAAAAGATATCTTAGTTGATGAACATCCTATTATCACATAGATTCTTTGTTATTTTTGGAGTTACTACAAAGCTGTACACTGTAAACTGTATATAGTGACATTGTACACTGTAGAGAGTGTGGGTTGGTGTTGTCCGGCAGGCGAGGCCGGACGTGTGCCTGCTGGCAGAGACGCGTGAGAAGAGCACCAATGTATAGTAGTAAAGAAGTAAGTATGTTAACTTAGTGTCTAGCTATGTTTGGAACTTGTAGGCGACGGCGGATGCATGCCTGTTGGCGGTGACGCGCAAGGCACGCGATCTGTACTCGCAGCAAATGGAGGCGCGAGTGCGCGACAGCGTCAGTGTCAGCAACGCCACGATCAAAGCCTGGCACGAGGAAGCGCGGGACCAAGCCCTGCGACGTTTCACAGAGAACAGAAATCTAGCTGCGCAGGCCGATATTGATGTTCAATTTAGTGAGCTTACTAAGGTAACGTACTTGATCAATCATTCAGTCCATCCATCAAAGTCACATCGAACATATTTTTGTAAAATTACAAAATATATACATACTTACCTTTACGCCTGTCACCCATGGGGGTAGGCAGAGACTATAGAACGCCAATTGCTACGATTCTTACATACCGCTTTCGCTTCATCAACCGTCATCAGACTTTACATGCATGTTCGTCAGTAAAGGGTTAAAATTACGAAAATTGTGTTAAGTATAAGGCAAATTCTATAGTATCTCCTACCTCCATTCCATTATCAAAATAACACACACCTTGCATTTTACCACAATGAACATGTAGTCCAATAATAAACACAGCTGTATTGCATATCGACAGGAACTGGAGACACTCCTCTCATTTTACTTGTGGAATAACGACAAAAAAGTTCGCGACACTATGGCCCTCGCCGCACAAGTATACGAGGCGGCTGTGAGCCGCGTGTGTGCGGAGCACGCGCGGCTGTGCCTGCACCCGCAGGACCTGGAGGAGCTGCACGCAGATGCTTTGCGACAGGCGCTCGCAGTTTTCGATACTGCCAGAGCCGAACCTCCAGGCGAAGAGGACGAGACAAGATTAGAATTGAAATGTGTAAGTTGTATTTCCATTTACCTAACCTAACATGTACTTAAATCATACAGAAGTGTTCAACATAGTCTAAACTAAGAAGTTGAACGTTGCAGAAGTTGGAGCAGCGCTACGAGCACTTGTGTGTCATCAACGAGCAGAACAACAAGACTAGCGTGATGGAGGCACGAGAGGTATACGTAAGGCGAATGAAGCTGGAGATGGACCAGCCGGGTGTCAGCTCCGAGCGACTCTCTACGCAGCACCGGGAGATAGTGGATCTCTCTAAATCATCCTTTTACTTGCTCAGAAATCGCTCCACGCAGCGAGATGACGACCCTCACCTCCGGCGACTTTTACAGGTATTATTATTTGATAATTAATAATTACCATCTGTTTCATCGTGACGACGAATTTTTGAGGGGCTAACAACATTCAAACTATGCTAACACTCAATTAAAGTACGTTGAATGTCATCATCGAGTTTGTTTTGCGAATCGTTTCTTGTTAAAAAGGTACTAGATTGGAATTTAAGTGAAAAATATTTCAGAAACTGAGCTTGTCTAACTTTTATCTTTACATAAGTCACAACGAAGTGACTTTTCATAATAAGTACAAAAACGTATATTTGATTGACAGGAAATCGAAGACTGTTATGCTGAATTTAGGCAGGGGATTGTTAAGAGTAACAGAATGATGAGGCAAATGGCTGAATACGCCTACAACAACTACATTACGTCGGCGTGGGGCCCGCAGACTTGCTGCTTCCACCCGCGAGCACTGGAGGACTTGCACAACGAAGCTGTGACTGAAGTCAACAAACAGTTACACGGAGACAAAAATGAAGATGAAAACAAGGCAGCCATTATGGAGGTATGTTAAGCAACTTGGTTTATCTGTTTGACTTGCACTGTGCTGCACACGATTACAATTTTCCATTATAGTTAAAATTGGAATCACTCATCCTACCGTAAGCTTTATATCAATATCCATGATAGATGGGGTATTTTTATGCAGTCTAGGATGATGATCCCATTCAAAACTTATTAATTTTACAGGTCCTGGCAAGACGTTATTCTGAACTGCAGATGAATAACGAGTATAATAACGAGCGAGCGGTAGAACAAGCGTTTAATGCGTATGTTATGAAGATGGACAAGCTTACGCGGCCTTCTGGAGTTCCCGCGTTGGTGTTCGCATTCTTCACTATACTCCAGTTTTCTTTGACTTTCCACCACGAAGAAACCAAGCGAGTAGCAGTGCAAGAGTTTAATCACAGGCGTCGTGGTACACCATACGATCAGGATCCATATTACGACCGTCTGGTGAAGGTAAATGTTATTCGATATCATCACGAATATTATGATCGACTCTGCTATTTTACTGACTCTGTGTGGTTTGTCCACAGAACATCGACGCGGCCTATGAGAACTACAGTAGTCCAGTGATGACCTTTTTAAGGGAGCTAGGATTTTGTAGAGACCAAGCTGCATTACCAGCTAACAATGCACGCATGGGATAATACATTATGGCTCAAACGCTAATAATTAGGCCAATATGAGTATATAACACTATTCTTAGTAAGTTAGGTTCTAAACAGATGCACCGCAAGTGAACTGCAACCAAACCGCAAATTGCAGTGTGAATGCAGTTGACACGACTGCAATAGAGCTGCAATCGGACTGCAGTTTGGTTTGCAGTTCAATTGCAGTCGTGTCAACTGCATTCACACTGCTTTATATCATTGCCGATGGGTTGCAGTTGAAATGCGGTACGTCTGGTCAGTCTGTCTGTTGCCTTACTGAGGGCTTAGTACGAGTTCGTTTTACGTTTAAAGTAATCAAAACGAGACCGTGTTCGGCGCTCTGATTGGCCGGCTCCAATCAACCAACCAATCAAAGCGCCGTACGCGGTCTTGTCTCAATTACTTTAAGCGTAAAACAAGCTAGAGCCTCGTCAGCTTAAACCTTATTTTATAATAGATTTTTAAAGACTTGATGAATGCAAATCTATATATATAAAAGAAAGTCGTGTTAGTTACACTATTTATAACTTAAGAACGCCTCAATCGATTTAGATGAAAATTGGCAGGGAGGTAGCTTAGAACCAGGAGACGGACATAGGTTACTTTTTATAGAATACTTTTTTTTTTACTTTTTACCGAAAATCACGAACGGGAACGGGGGGAAATGGGATTGCGCGTACGAAGTCGCGGGCAGAAGCTAGTTACAAACTAATTATAAACTATTGTTTATTTAGATTTAGTAATTATCTTTAACTAAACTAAATTAAGTTTGGTACATGCTAATTGTTTACACTTATTTGTAAAATTAAGATTAAAAAGATCTATGTATTGTTTATTCCTAGAAAGTATCGATAAACCTCGGAACAATAACTAAAGCAAGTTAGCTTAGCCAGGTATTACGATCATGTACGGGTTATAAATTATTATATGAAAAAGGTAAAGCTTTAGATGTGGCTAAGAAATGAAAGATACGTTTTTTATACTTAGTAATTTTCAAGAGAATATATCCTGCGCCAAATATATAACGCTTAATAATGCTTAATAATATTTTGTTTTATTTTAACCTCAAATTTCACTAAGTTGTACTAACAAATCAATAAAACAAACTTTTCTGAAAAGAAAGCCTAGAAAGAATCACAGAGCTTGATTGATTAGGCTAGGATTAAAATTCACAGTAAACTGCCTCGTTGGCCGAGTGGTCGCGAGTGCGACTGCCGGGCAAGGGGTCTCGGGTTCGATTCCCGGGTCGGGCAAAGTATTACTGGGTTTTAAAAAAAATCTCAATAGTAGCATGGAGTCTGGAAATTGTGCCAGGTATATGGCAATAGGCTCACCTCCTATTACATGGGACTGTGAAAAGTGGGTGTTACATTGTACAGTGGCATTAAGTGCCATAATGTTGTGCACCTCTGCCTACTCCGTCGGGGATAAAAAGGCGTGATGTTATGTTATGTTATGTTCACAGTAAACTGTCGTTAAAAATCGTAGTTAGTAACTATGTATTGAATACGACTATTTTACGAAATACAGTTTATTTCACCATCATCATCAGAACTGTGGAATGGATCTTAATATGAAAATTGATCTGTTATCTATATCGATATATACTTACATCTTCTATCTATACATATAATAAAATCGTAGAAAAGTCAAAACTGTACATTGAGTATTTTTAAAAAATAATACTTGGACTGTGATCTACCATCGATACCTGTTTTTGAATTTTTGTCTGTTTGTTTGTAAGTATGTCCGGAATGATCTCAAAAAGTGATGCATGGATTTACTTCAAGTTTTGCATGAATACTACTAGCATGTCGGGTCAACATATAGGCTACGTATTATCACGCTATCATCTACGGGACTGAATCAATTTTGACGACATTCATTACCGTAGAATATCCCTTGATAAAAAATTAAAAACTAATTCAAAAGCCTAAATTCTGCCAAAAGTCATTATTCTACGCTGACGAAGTCGCGGGCTACAGCTAGTCTATTTTGTAATAACAACAGGGGTAACAAAATATACAAGTATATAACTTTAAGTGAATTTATTTCAAAATTATTTACAAAATGTCTCGATAGAACTGACTCCTTTATAATTTTTTTGTTTATTTTGTACAGAAATATTAAAATTAGGGCATAAGTATGCGTTTATATAATTCCATGATCAGAACAGGGTGCTTACTCTTGAAACCAATCTCAATGTCAATGCAATTTCAATCGAATAAAATCTCAATAGTTAATTATTCAATGTCAAAACTATACAACCACAATCGTAGCTGTTACAATAGCATTCAGAGTACGGAATATAAAGCCCAACTCAATAACACTCAGTTCATTCAATATTCGCGCAATACGGATGCAATGGGCGCTAGTGTTGCAACTCGAGAGTACGAAATTGACAATATCAATGTCGATCGATCGGAATTGGATTCAAGAGTAAGCCACCTGATCATGATCGAATATTTTTAGGATTTTATTTTGACAAATTTTTAAAAATAATCCTGCAATATATGATGTATGATTATAACATTGATATCGAAGGACCAACAACGGTATGTATCAATTAATTTAATTATGAAGATTTTACATGGAGTTATCGAAATAGTCAGTTGTCTTCCAGTTGTTGTCTAAGAATATCGTAAAATGTATTAGTGCAGCTGTAGCCAAATGCCACTTAGCGCTTGTCTACATGTAGAGTAGAAAACCAAATTATATGGAATTGACGTAAATTTTGACACTTGTCGGTGTCATCCCCATACATTTTGATTTCTACTCTCTCTGTAGACAAGCGCTAAAGTGGGGTTTGGCTAGAGGCCCTGGAAAATATTTTACAATCTAAACGATAAGTTTTAGAAATACTTTACATACAAGGAATTAGGTACTTATACTATAAGTCAAAATTACTTTACAATAAATGAGACCCGTTACATTTCAATGAATAACAGATAATTATATTTTCATTTGGTGAATTATTTAGTAAGGTACATACTATTTACAATCTAATTAATTACATACTAACATACCTACTTAACAAAACTATTAAGTCTTTTAATTAACTATATATAGGAGTATTATATAATTATATAATTTATATATAATACGTTTCCATGATTTATTTGAACAACATGGAAAAAGAATTTATGATGTTAGTACATATATATATAATATGGCACTTAATACCTTTTTATTAACAGACTTTGAAAAAAGAAGAATATATGTATGTTTGTCCGCGATTAAATATAAATATATTAAACACTAAAGTCGAAACAATTTTACGAAAAATTTTTTTCTTAAATTTGTTTTTTGTTTTACTTTTTTTATGACGTTATTGGAATTTGGTCAATTTGTGGATAAACATATATTGTTATTCTCATGTATGCAACTTATGCTATCGGGTAAATACATGTAATGTAAAGTGGGAATAAACACAGTTGACAGAACCCTTAAAATAAACAAATTTTACATTTCACTTTATTAACTTTTTTTGTATACATATACCTAATATTTTTTTACAAAGTCACTCACAATTAAATTACTTTCGTAAACGTAATTTGGTAAAGCGTAAAAATTGTTTCGTAAAGTTAATTCGATTTATAAATACGTTTATAAGTAAGTCAGCTCTTATGCACTTGTGTGGTTGGCCAGAGTTTTGGTCCGTTTAGCGAAATAAGATTTTGATAAAAAAAATTATGTGTTATAAAATTCTTAAGAATTTACAGAAATGTTTTAAGGGAACCACTACCTACGTGCCAAACGTAAACGCACTTATATATATATCAATTATTTTTAACATGTTGTATATTATTGTAGACCGATATTACTTTTCTAAAAATTGTAGATTAAGTAGAGATTTAATTTAAAAAAGTCATTAAAACTTTTACAATACTTTTCATCAAACTGTTTATAAATCCAATCTAGATATTATACAACTTACTCCTTATTTTTGTAACACGTTTTGAATCACAATATTGAATACCAATGTTAATAATTATGTAAATATGAAAATGGATTTCAGCACGCTTCTCAGCATATTGAACAATTTAATCCCTATTTAAACAATTTACTCAGCATACATAGATTTAACAATACGACCATAACAATTCGGTCTATATTTTTAGAAATATTTTAATTATTTATAATTTATATCACCGAGCTACTGATTTGACAAGTCCTTGTGTATTTCAATGTACTCAATCACACACTCGTGTAGTTTTGGTCACAGGCTGTGATCTAGCCGCGTGGCACTGTCCTGTGCAGTGAGCTAATGACAGTAGGCAGTCCTCCTAGAGTGACGTGATCCTCACTGGGTGTATGGTCCTATGGCTTCAAACGTCGAAGAGCAGCGCTATATTGTGCTGCTCGGCGCGTCGCTAGTAGTGGTCGGGTAGCGCGTGCTGTGCGTGCGCGGAGCGGTAGTGCGGCGCGCGCGAGTACGTGCCGTACGCGTCGTCCCGCCGCGCTCCGCCTACGCCGCTCGCACCCATCGACGCGCCACTAGCGCTCGTGCCGCCCACGCTCCCACTGTATACTGACTCACGCCTCTCGTTTACGGCTGCTCCTGTAAACCGTAATTGTACACTTATTCATACATTCGTAGACAACCCTCACCGCCTTTGTCCCGTGGTGGTAGAATAATTTAACGAGAGCCAAATTCATATTCTGTCCTGCCAATGACTAAATCTGGAACTCACCTGCTGGTCCTGGGCGAACACCGTTGGCTGTGCCGTACGGAGGATCTCGTTGGGCGTTGTGGGCATTCTGGTTATGTGCTAGAGCGTGATGAGCGTGTGTATGTGTGGGTGGGCGCAGCACTAGCGACGTGGCCGCAACAAGCGGGCCCCCGCCCACTGCACTGGTGGCCGCAGCACTGCTGGCTGCCCCACTTGTGGCGGAGCTACCCTTACTGTACACTGACTGCGATCTATAAATGTACATGGAGTGATTAATACAAATTTTCAAGCATTAAACCGCTAACATGTTAAGATTAAAAAGCTACATTTTCATGTAAGACTACTCGGTTTATCATTTAGTACCTATGCAAGCCATGCCTGGCAGGTGGAGGTGAACGACAGTAGAGTGATTTGGTGCCGGAGTAGAGCGGCTCGGCGGTATCAGGGCGCGGGGCTGCGGCGCAGTACGTGGGAGCGTGGCGGTAGTGGTGATGCGAAGGGAAGGCGGGCTTGTCGAGCTCGTCCAGGTCTCGAGGAGACGAGGCACGTGATGATGCGCCCCTTGCTCGTCGGCCGCCCCACTCGTGCAGCAGCGCGGAGGCCACACCGCCTCCCAGTCCTCCCACCCAGCTCACCCAGTGGCTCTCCCAGCGAGACAATACGAATGACGGTCCTAGCGATCTAGCTGGATTCAGTGACGGCATCTGTAAATAAAAATTATTGGCTAGTTGGTATTTAATTGTGTCATGTATGGGGATATGGATAGGATTACAATATCGCTACATTATTAAATTTACATTTTTACCATGTATGTTGTTGCATATAGTTTTTTGGAAAGTTCAGAAATCTTAAGCTTACTTAAAAAAATATCACAAAAACTTCAATTCAGGAGATATAAAAGCCTCCATACGTAGGTAGGTAATGTGTGTATATACTTATTTTTTCCCGTACACTTTGTTCTGAGCGGACAGATGGGCACGCCACAACGGCAGCTGTCCTTAGGGATGCTGCACAAAAGGCAGGTAGCTTGTAATACATTCCACATAATAGCGCAGACGGCAAACAATGCACGAGCTCACATTGCTACACTCTGCCCACCTGACACCGCGTTTGTTGAACATTTCGTGTTCAATACCGTATGAGTCCATATAGCTAACGTTTATGAGACGAGTACTTGTACTACTAGTAAGCAGACATTAGAATAATATTCATCAATACTTCTCTCGTAATTATTAGCTGTGCTAATAAAAATGGGAAACCAAAAACTGAAGGCATTTTTGTTGACATGTTTTTACAAAAAATACGGTACTCTGCGCTAAGATATTCTGTGGTGTGTAACAATTTAACGATTTGCAGATTACAAAAAACAATTTATATTCAAAACAGCACAGTGGTTAATCGTGTAATCATATTATGATAAGCAAGTAAAATTATGAAATAGAACACAAATGATACTCACAGAGACGAAGCTAGCAGCACAGTAGGCAGCGCCCAGCAGTGCCGGTGCAGCTCCCGTCCAGCGCCGCTCCATGGCTGCGAAGTAGGCGGCGGCCACCAGTGCCGACAGCACCAGCTCCGCTCCGAGTCGCTCCCATGCTGCGCCCGTCACGCTGCCACCACCTGGCAGAGACGCCGACAGTCCACCGGCATACCCTGGCACACTGACACTGAAAGTGAAAAAAAACCTTAATAAGTATGTATCTGGTGTTACAGCTGGCAAACTACAAAAAATAAGTTTTTTAATTATGATCCATATCCATAGGACTTCATGGACAAACTAATGTATCTACCATCCTTCTTGCTAAGCATACTAACCCTGGGCATAAGTTTGTTAAGTAAATGACTTGGTCTTTGTGGTATTTTGACTTTGGTGTTGTTTTGACTTTGTTATTTTGTATTTGGCTTTTCATAAAATACCACATTGGGTATATTTTTATCACGATCGAAGTCTCTTGGCCTTTACATATTAATAGATCGCAGGAAAGGGTCCTGCTTACTGGACTCGTAGACGCGTCGCCGTTGGTCCAAAGTATGCAGTATTTTTATAACCACTTACATAATATTTTCAAGAGCACTAAGTTACAGGAGTAATACTGATAACTTAACAATCTTGAATTTTTGTCTGAAGTGATTCCATTCTGAATTTTTTATTGTCATTAATAATAGGTTATTCATATTCATGTCATATAGGGTGGAAACGGAACGATACCGAAATGCTATCAATAAGAAATTGTTTTTACACTTTTAAGTTTTTGTTTTCGTGTTATTCAAGCACTATTAGCCTTGATTACTTGATTACAACTATTACATAAAACAAACATTTAATTCCTTACTTTTATAAAATAAAAGCTCCGTTCCGTTTACAACCCGTTTTAGTCTAGTATATATGTATGTAGGATATAAGAAGTTTTTAATATTTCTGTCGTCTAGTACGTTGCGTTTGGTAGATTTCGTCTACCCCCTAACCAAGGCGTGAGTTAACGCTTGTATAAAAATAAAAACATAGGTACCTACTTTACGAAACAGAAACGTAACTAAGGAATTACCCACGTTCTGTGTGTTTCGAAACATTTACCCATTAATAGTCTCATTTGAAGTTTCGGCCAATCAAACTGACGGCTTACTATGAGTTTGTCTTACGTTTAAAGTAATCGAAATGAGTACGGGTTCAGCGCTCTGATTGGCCGGCTCCAATGAACCAACCAATCAGAGCGTTGAACGCAATCTCCTTTCGATTACATTAAACGTAAAACAAACTTTACTAAGGCCTTTGTAAGTAAGTAGTTAACATTGGGCAGTAAGGCTCTACGAATGAGGTCAACAAGTGACTGACTACCAGCCTCGGCCAGCCTCGCCAGATGTGATCGACGACGTGCCAACTCATATTCACAGTAATATGAGTAATAAAGAGGGTTCCACACTTTCTTACAGTAATAAGTCACGTCTTGGTGGAAATGAAACACTTTTATATGAAATAATGTGTGTAGTGGATTGTCGGTAAGTAACTAAGTATGTGTAGTTTGTATTATTTGTGTGTAAGGTGTGATTGCCTTGTTAGGGGTGATTTTTTGAGTATAATGGTTGAATAAAGTGACATCATATGATTTAAAATTGTCGACTTTTCATATACTTAATAGATACTTTGTCGTGAATCACGTTAAAATAGTATACACTATTTACAACTCCAGATGAGTTAGGATTTTCATAAATTTTCCTATGTCCAGAATAGCAGGTCACAGTCAAAACAAGAATTTAAATTATTTAAAAATATCACAAACAATTATAAACGTCCTACATGAACAAATCGCAAGAAAGAGGTATTTTTATCACAGAAGTCGGTACACGGTAGCGCCCTCTATTCTCATGATATCTATCTGGAACTCAATAGCTATTGTCGTTCCCGACCACTTCTAAGTTGTACTATGGCTCACTGCATTTACCACAATACACTAGCGTCCTATTTGCCGCTGACCCTAATTTAAGATACAAATTATTGTGTTCCCGATATAGCAAAATGTTTTAATACAATAGTAAGATAGGCTGAGAACATATAAAAGGTGCAATCAACTTTTCGCTAGTTATGAGTCCCATGTTATATCCCATTTTAGATTATAACTTCATCAACATATAACATAAGTACATAAACGAGCATAGTTGTGTGCGGTTCATTATTCCCAGCGAGCCATTATTGAACGAGAAGAAACTGGCTACGGAACAATTTAGCGGTTTTTAATTAAAATGAAAAGTGCGGCGCCGCGGCCGTCGCGTCGCCGTCCATCCTCACTTTATGAGCACAACTCAGGAAATTAGAAGCCTTTTTATTTTTAATTAATATTTAGTGTTGAAGTTTGGATAACAATACTTTTTTTTATTTATTTTTTTCTATCGCGATGGAAATCCTCATGGACTTCCCGCGCCGTGGGGACGACGAGGGGGCGTGCCCGTGCCGTGCCCGGACTCATACCGGCTAAAACCACCGCGGTGTCCCTTCACTGCCTGTGACCGTGACCCGGGTTGCCCTTACGGAATCACCACACTTGGATAACAATACTAGGTACATAGTTACTAAGTTTCATAAAATCTTGGTAGTTGGTGCTTTTCATTAGTTGATAATGATAAAAACAATAATGTATTCGAAAAAGCATTCGACCAAAACAACAGTTTTAAATGACCTTTTTTTTGATGTCGGGAGGAAACCTTCAAAAGGCCAGAAGCGTTTTGGGGAGAAAAACTAGGTAGTGTAGGATTCTTACCTTACTAAAACCACCCCGGTGGCCACCCCCAGCACCTGTAAGGGGCACCGGGTCCTCTAAAGAGAGCCTCCGGAGCCCCCGCAGTGCAACGCCTGATAAAGCACATCCCTAGGGAGACGAGCGAGTCCCTCGATCATCGCTTTGCACGGCAGCACGTGACCACTGTGCTACCGTCTTCCCTGAGGCCACTAGATGGGCACCTAGAGTCCCCACTCTGTGCACCCGTGGCCCCTAAGAGTTTTAAATGACCTAGTGAACGAACCCTTATTCTATTTTATTCTTATAATTTAGCGTACACCTGTTGAAAAGTGGGTGTTATATTAAACAGTGACATTAAGTGCCGTAATGTCCACCACTGCATACCCCTTCGGGGATAAAAAAGCGTGATGGTATGTTATGTTGTTTTATATAAAAGTTTATTGTAGGTAGATATTTTACATAAAAAATCTCAGTAGTAGCACGGAGTGTGGAATTGTGCCCGGTATATGGCAATACGCTCACCCCCCATTACATGGGAATAAAAAAAATTAATAGTGAAAGGTGGGTGTTACTTCTGTGTGCATCTCTGCCTACCCCTTCGAAGATAAAAGGCGTGATGTTATGTTATGTTATATTTTCGTAATAACATCAATAACCACTAAGAAAAACAAATCATATTTAATATCGGTACACCCAGTGGGTACACCTGATTACCTAATATTATGTATCTACGATTAGTCTATGTTAGGGCATAAATGAACACGCAGGTTTTAATCACTTTAAATAGGATTTATTACGATATTTGTACACAAACAGTTTACACGCGGCTAGTGACGCCGGCCATAACTTTGCGACACTCACACATATACATTCATCTAAACACTCATACAATACATCTGTACGCGCAGACACAGGCTCATCGATCTTCGTATACCTCAATAGTCTAGTTATATTATTTTTAAATCAATGAACAAAATACTCAAAACAGAAATATAAAAAGTCCTCGGCTTCCATACTTGATACTTGTATTATGCAAAACTGCACCTGCGTTAGATAACATTGATCAAACTAATTCTAACATCGAATCTAATATGTTTGTACCCCATCACGATTGTATGTAAAGCTTTAATTCAATACACCTTTAGGGTTTTCCCCATATTAAATATGCGTAAAAAGAAATTTGGGGTGAACGTTAGAGATTTTTTCACGATAAAATGTTTTACAGAGATTTCGTAAGCAGTTTATCTATACTTTGTGAATCTAAATGAAATGTAATTGCTTAATTCCACATAAAAAAATTGTGATCTGTGATTATTTTTTTTTTAATTAATCGTATTTTTTGTAACCGAAAAGTAGATACTTACTAATAGATGTCACCAAACATGCATACAATGTAGGTATTAAATTTACTATCGACTGAATTTTCATTTATTGCTAACTCATGTTTTTTTATGAATTCAATAGAGGTGATGACAGGGTATGAAAATTAAAAATCTAATTAGTCCGTCAGTTAGTTAATGAAAAAAAATATGAGACACGGTTTTTTTATTTTGTTGAATAAGAAACCAATATTTAGATAAAACGAATCAAAATTTAGGAGTGGGAAGTAGATACGTCATTATAGAGGTAGAGTATAAATCGTACTCAAAAGTGACGTCATGCGATATTTCAAATCAATATGTATGTCTTCGAAACTATTCGTTTCCGAAAAAAGAAAAAAAATATATTTTTAAATAATCTACCAGACGGACATTAAAATAAAAATTAGGTTACCCTATTCTAATCCACGAACGACAATAAATAATGTAATAAGGTAACTGTATTAAATAATCAATACTGATATTGAAACAAAAACAATAAAATATCACTGACACTATAATACCATGGTCATAACTTCCCATAATTCAGTGAACGCACTCGATATGCTGATGATTATGCATAATTTATGCGCTCTAGGGTCAAGTGGGCCAAATGGAACACGCGTTTATGGGGGCCATCTTTTATGCTTGTTGTCAATGGACAGTAAATTGGTGAACATTCACACCTTCTGTTACGACCGGACCCGATGCCCGTTTTTTCCTTTTGTCGGCTTAGGATATATTTGCTTATCACCACAATACAATAGGCTTATTAGCTGCCCAATGTGTGATGTACGCTTTTTATTTGTTTCACAAAAAAAAAACGTTTACAAAAAATATTTAGTTATTTCATCCGTCGATTTTATTTGTTCTTAATATTTTTGTATTGTTATGGAGGTGACGAACAGATTGTGTAGGTATTATGTTTGTTGCAGTCACATCTCAGATTTGGTACTCGGGTATTTTTTTTAAGGGGGGAATATCATCGAATGACTGCTCCCGCCTAGTGTCAAACTCTTACTGACTAAAAACTAAAAAACTGCGTTTAAAAAAACCGATTTCAAATACTAAGACAAA